CCCCAGGCCCGGGGCCGCGCCTCCTCCCCCCACACTCCCCCTTACCTGCTTCAGGCTTCCCGCGACTCAAATGTTCGCGGGAAGCAGGGGAGGGGGCGGAGACTTTGGGGAGGGGGCGGAGTTGGGGCGGGGGCGGGGCTTGGGGCGGGGCCGGGGCCCCGTGGAGTGTCCTCCTTTGGGAGGCACAAAATATGGTAACCCTACCACAGGAGCACCCCCAAATTCCCCCCCTGAGAATTGACACCCCCTCCCCCACCATAGCTGCTCCAGGGGTGGGATTGGAGTGTCAGACTGGGAGGATTTGTCTCCTGGGGGCAGGGGATCGGGGTGCCGGTCTGGACAGGATCGGGGGGCTGGTCTGGACAGGGTCAGTCTGGGTGTGTGGGGAAGTAATTTACACCACAGAATAGTGAAACAACTGGCTGATGAGAGTTGGCGTAAGCTTTTGTGGGCTAAACCCACTTCATCGGCTGTTTGAAGTAAAAGATACAGGAGCAGGCATAAATCCATGAAAGGCTGGGGGTTGTTTTACCACGTGTGAGGTCAGTCAAAGGAGAGAAATCAATTAACAGCAGGATGCCAGGGGAGGAGAAATAACTTTTGAAGTGGTAAGAGAGTGGCCCATTACAGACAGTTGACAAGAAGGTGTGCTTAACAGTAGGGAGACATTAGTATGGGGGAAATTAGGTTTTATAATGACCCAACCACTCCCCGTCTTTATTCAGGACTAATCTGATGGTATCCAGTTTGCACTTTAATTCCACTTCTGCAGCTTCACATTGGAGTCTAGTTTTGAAGTTTTGTTGTTGAAGAATGGCCACCTTGAGATCTGTAATTGAGTGACCAGAGATTGAAGTGTTCTTCTACTGGTTTTTGTGGAGAATTAGCTCATGAACTCGTCCGATGCCCCTTCCCACAATTACTGTCCTCCAGCCAAATCACATTAAATCCCTCCCCCTCCCCTCCCCCCCGTTCTGGGTTCCATCAAAGTCTTCCTCCAGAACAGCTTCTGGCAGCCCCCACGTGGGCTGTCTCTGGCATGCCACTCCCCCCAGGCCATGAAGGGGAGCCCCCATTCACCCTCCACGCCGGGTTCCAGACCAGGGACCCTCAACCCAGCAGCTCTGGGCTTTCCTCCCCCACTTCTTACTGCTTCTTCCCCAGACTGCTGCGTCCTAAGGTGTCACCAGAACGTCCTGCTCATCCCCTTGTATCAAGGCACGCAATCTCCAGTTTCTCCCTACAGTCGGCGGCATTCTGGGGTGCCAAAAAGTGGGTTAAAAGTTTCATTGTCTATGGAAAACACAAAGGTCAGCTGTAGGCGGGGGGGGCGCTGCAGATGCTAGAGGCAGGTAAAGTGTAAATCCGGCCCTGCTGCCGAGGGTTGCCAAACCTCCAGGATCGTCCTGGAGTCTCCAGGCATTAAAGAGCAATCTTTAATTAAAGATTATGTCATGTGATGAAACCAAAATTGGCAACCCTAAACCTGCCAATTTCCTCTCTTTAAAGAGCCCACTCAGTCAGGGCTGATGCAAGGATATTTTGCGCCCTAGATGAAACTTCCATCTTGCGCAAAGCATCGCTTATTATAAACTTTCAAAACCAAATACTGCATAATGTCCATTAGAATTAATACACATTTGGTTTGAAAATGTAATAATTTCATTATTTAGTCTACATATTTAATGAAAATAAATACACCCTTTTTAGTCATGTATACTTCCTTCCTTCCTATCAAAATCTACATTTTATTCTACCTTTAGAATATCCAATTGTTGTTAATAAAATTTATAAAATTAGAATGGTGGATACTCCATCATACAACAACTGACAATATCAATATGACAAATTTCAACAACCTACACATGCATATTTGCACATGATCAGAGAATATTAGGGTTGGAAGAGACCTCAGGAGATCTAGTCCAACCCCCTGCTCAAAGCAGGACCAATCCCCAGACAGATTTTTGCCCCAGATCCCTAAATGGCCCCCTCAAGGATATGATAAACATATACACTCAAAATACTTAACATACACATACAATTGACACAAAGTATTAGCAAAATGGAGCAGCAGCAATTGTCAGAATCTTAGATCTGAAACAACTCAACAAAAATAGTTAGCCTCAGTCGACAACCTCCAAAAACTAGTAAACTTAGCATTATAAACAGCCCGTCAGAACGGGGAACAGCGGCGCACGCACGACGAGCAAAATGACGTCACTGCCACTTTGTACCGTAGGGAAGCAGTACACTTGTGCCCGCAACGCAGAGATGACGTAGGCTATGGCTGTAATGTACAAGAGAAGAATGACCAGTTAAAATGCAAGTTCAACGATATTTCTCTTTTCTTTATTCATTCGTTTTCCAGAAAGAAAAAAAAAA